GCAGCAGATGCCCTTCCAGCCTGTACCGCATGTCTTTGGCCTGTGGGGGAACAAGAGCACCCGGAGGAAACCCATGCAAACGTAGGGAGAACATGCAAACTCCACACAGAAACACCAACTGACCCAGCCAAGGCTCGAACCAGTGACCTTCTTGCTGTGAGGCGACAGCACTACCCACTGCGCCACTGCATTGCCCCTCTTTTATACATCAGGGTGGTAAAGTGCACCAAAAAATGGCCACAAATCTCCCCGTGGTCAAGTTCATCACCTAGCATACATTCATTCAATCTAAAATTTACTCTGCTTTATAAATGTAAAATAAAAAATAAAAAAAAGTTTACCCTATCTATTTTGCGTGACGGGGTGGTTGAACTTGACGGACCCTGTCTAACAAAAAAAATATATAATAAAATAAGAAAGAAAGAAAAAGAAATGTAAATGAATTTCTGTAATTTCCAGCTTTTAGTGTTGGAGGGTGTAGGGCCCATATGATGTGAATTCTGTTTTTGTGATGTCATTTAAAAGTACATATTTTATAGATAAAACAAGTTAGTGTGACGGGGTGGTAAGTCAAACTGAGGGATGCACACAAATCATGAAAAATTTACAAAAAAAATAATAAGTAAAATTATAAAATAAATATATCTTATGGAAATAATAACACAAATATAAACCTCAAAACAATGAAAATTTCGGTGGAAAAAAGTAATTTATTTGGTGATATTTTAGGTGCAATGTTAGTCAGCAAGGACATGTGGAATTTGTTATGTAATCATGAAAAAGTATTTAAAAAGAATATTACTCTTTAAGGGGTTTAGGTGGGGTTGGCGCAAGATGGCGACCTAGACGGTTGTGCTGGTTTGAGCTCTGAGCTATCTGGAGGAGTTTACATTGTTTGGACGAATATGTATCACTCAAATCAAGGTGGGAACTTTTAGAAGTAATAACTCAGCTAATTTCTATGTCTAAACCCCAGTTATAGACTGAACTATATGCAGATTCAAGAGTTCAGCGCACGTGCAAACGCTGCAAAAATGCCAAAGAGTAAAGACTGAAAGTTGTTCTCTTCGCTTTTCGAACCTTCTGGAGACCATGATTTGTCGTCTAATACACCATCAAGCAGTCCTCTATCAAAAAAACTTTGTCAGGATTAAGATGATCCTTATGTAAAGTGATTCTAATGTTGATATACTGCGTGCTGTTAATTCCCTCAGTGATCGATTTGCGTCGATGGAACAACAACTTGCCCAGAATTCGATTACGATTGCTAATCTTTCAAAGGCTGCTAATTTTGTTGGAGAGGAGTTAAAATCAATGTCCACACGAGTTAAGGCAAATGAAAATAAGATCACGCAAATTCAGCAGGTGGTTCAAGTGGTTCAAAGCAAATGCGATCAAGCTGAGATCTACAGAAGAAGGTGGAATTTAAGGATCATCAATTTCAAAGAATCAGATGGAGAAAATATCAGAAGCAGAGTGCTGGAAATCCTTAAAGCTCCAGACGAAACAGATGACATCCATTTTTATTTTGACACCATTCACAGAAGCCATTCCACCCGGAGCAGGTGGAAATTGCCCTCGACCGGTCACAATTTAGTTTGCGCTTCGAGTGTACAGAGAGAAAGTCTGGAAAGCGGCTCGGGATCCTTCCGTTCTTAAGAAAAGAGGTGTTTGTCTGATGGAGGATTTGACGTTGGCAGAAAGACAACAGAGAAGGATGCTATGGCCAAAAGTAAAAGATGCAAGAGAACAGGGCAAGAGAGCTTACTTTCGTGGTGCAAATGCTTTTATTGATGGCAAAAAACTGTCCGTAGAGGAGTTTGAAGCTGAAAAGTGAACACTGACAGAAAACTACTGTTTGGTCGCTGGCCCTTTGTCAGTGTAAAAAGTTAACTTATTTGTTCAGTCTGATCGTCCAGGTGATGTGACTGTTCCAGGTAGGGATGTTCATTTCGGTTAATATTGCTAACCGACAACCGCCACTTATTAATCGGTTATTAACGGTTAACTGGTCAGATTACTATTAATTTTACATTAAACAAATTGACGTGTCTATTTTGTGTCTGACACATTAAATATTGCATTTTAAAATACTGATTTATTTTTACATGCTACCATATTAACAATAGAACAATACAACAGAGCATTTTCACGCACCTGCAGTGTTTAGCACAGAAGAGCAGAATAAACTAAATAAGATGAATAAAATAAATAGGACTGCCCTAAATTATTTTCCACTTAAATAATTAATTTATATTACATATCGAAAATACTGACTGATTATTTTTAACAACCGGCATAGGCTGTTTTTTTCCCAATCATATTTTTTGTCTTCCGTCAAATAAAATATCAGACTTCCTCAAATCGCTCGCTCCACGGAAAATATGCATTTATTTAATGCCCCGCTGTTATTATAATCACAAAATCTTTTTACATTTTTAATAGAAATCATTATTTTAAAGATTATGTCTTGCTATATGGTTTCCTCTCTCTCCCTTGCGGTTCAAGTGTGCGCGCTGCGCGATGAAAAGACAACAACAACGCGCGCATATGTTGACTTTTTGTAAACAGTTTTGTTGTTTAAATATGATATTGCATTAATGTGTAAACATGCTTTATAAGCTGTAAAATAAAAGGTAAAGCCTATTTGTTGCGTTTATGATGCATATCCAGGTCAACATCAGTGCTGGTTTAGCATCAACACATCTGTTTCAAACAGCAATATTCTTCTTCCATTTTGCTTTTTTGGCAAATGTGTCTGTAGGCACGGGTTATACGTTATCGTCCCGCAAGTTAAGTATGTCTTGCAGTTGAACAAGTGGCCGACCACAGCTAATGTGCTTTTTTTATTCCGACTGAAGCGACTGAATCAGCAGGGTATCGATTGTGCAAAAGTGTTGCTGTCTATGTTGTTACAATTGTAATATTAATAATATTTTGATATTCAAGATTTGTACATTCATACAGCTCTGGATAACTTAAAACAGCGATTAGACCTAAAGAGTGGTGTTAATGCGTCCTGAAGTAAAGCGAAACGACCATTAAATCCAGCAAGATAGAGTGATTACATGCAGAGTCATACTTTATCTATAAATAAAGTATAAATATTATATACCCTATATTATTATTTAGGTTTTTTTTTCTTATCTGATATTTGGACCAATCAGCTAATTTACTTTCTTACTTTCTTATGGAAAGATGGCCATTCCCTATTAAATTTAAAGAATATAACTCTGTAACAAAAGCCATCCCCTCTGGTTTACTAATGCTAATGAGAAGTCATATGTCTTCATATAGTATTAATATTAATAGAAATGATCCTCCACTTTACTTAAATGGGGTAGACTTTTGTAGTAAAAAATACAAACAAAGTTATTAGATTAATATTTTTCAAAAAAAGAGCCTTAAAATCTAGAGTAAATTTTTTTTTGGAATGTTTATTTCGATGATAATGTGTGGAAAAAAAGCTTGGTTGCTTCCTTTTCATTTTTGCATAAGTAATAAATACAGGGAACTACATTTAAAAATTTTACATAACATTTAAGTTAGTAATCACACATTAACTAAATTTATGCAGACGGATGGAAACTGTTCATTCTGTTTACATCGCCCAGACAGAGACTTAGATTAATCTTTTTTATGATTGTGAATATTCAATAAAAAAATTTGGGAAGAGCTATCATTGTATGTCAAAAAAAAAATCAGGTTTTAGTTGCATTTTGACCCCCAAAGACGTTATTTTTTATTTTGTTTCAAAAAATTTATCTGTGGAATTTTTATTGAATCTTTTGATTTTGTTTGGTAAATTTCATGTTCATAAATGCAGGCTAAATAACACTAAACCTTGTTTAAAGGTTGCTATTACAGATTTTGATTTGTATATAAAATCGCTCCAATATGTTAAGAGCGAAAAATGTATAAATACAATTATTCTGGCAAATGAGCTGAAATTAATTGATTAGTCTTGCTGTCTATTGGCTAAGTTAAAATATTATCATTGTAAAGATCTCCATGTTGAATTGTCTTTTTATTTGTTTAATTTATGTTATTTATTTTTTAGTTAATGTTGTTAGTTACTTTTGTATTTTTTTGGATGTCATGTTTAAATTGCATATTTGTTGTTCAAAAAAAATATATATATATTATATTATATATATTATATTACTCTTTAATAATGATAATATATCATGCTAGCAAGACCCCTTGAATTAATTACTTTAAGCTTTGGAAACACATTATAGGACAAGTTATTGCTTCATGGAGCTCATCAAATGTTACTGACACAAATATCACTCGTTTCATAGAGTGACACAAAAATGTTTAGAGTTAAGGTTTTGATCAACTTCAAATACTGAACGTATGTGTGTCTGTGTATGAGGGAAAGTGGAAAACGAGGGAGAAATGTATCAATAAGTCATGATTGCAACATTAAGTGACAGTAAAAAGCTAAACAAAAAAGACTTTTATTTTGGCATAGCGTGTGACGTCATAAGGCTGCGCCGCTACTGCGCTGTGATTCAACTGGAGAAAGGTTTGTTTTAAAACTTTGACATAGATATAAACCGATTGATTAAAGTTTCAGGGTTTTAGCCGATGCTAAATGATATTCCTGCTGTTGACGATATTACTTTAACCCTTTATTCAGCGTAGAACTATCTCTCTCACATTGAGGACTATTGTTTGACTAAAGCAACAGAAATGTGTATGAAGGTTTAATTTATTATATAGCATAATGTCATTCCATTCTAAGTATAACAGTTACATCTCTATATAGGAAATGGAGTAACATAGTTTTATTTAGCTAATTTGTGGCTATTGTTTCTGGCTTGGATTTACTCTTTTACCTGATTTCTGTTGAATTTATTTAAACAGAACGTTTTTATTGTTTTGTTCATTTTAAGCAGGTTAAAGTGTCCAAACGCAGAGAAAAACTCCTGCTAAAGCAACTGATCTCCACACTGTGATAAAGATGGCGTTTATTAAAGAGGAGAGTGAAGATGTAAAGATTGAAGAAACATTCAGAGTCAAACATGAAGATCCGCAGGAACAAACAGGTTGGTTTTCATACTGATATATTTTTAATAATAAGAATACTAAATTAAATCGACCTTGCAGCCCTGAATGTGCGCCTAGTTCTCCTAAATGCACATGAGCACTTATTGAAAGACAGGAATGAGTTTCTTGTAACTTGTTTCCATGTCTTTTGTCATTTTTAAAAAAATATATATTATTAGTCTCCCATTTTCTCTGCCTTCTTAAGCTTTTTGCTTTTCTTGTTCTTCTACTGTTTGTAAAAGAGTTCTTAAGCACTGGCGCTATAAAGATAAATAAAATAAACAATAAATTAAAAAAAAGTTACTGAGCTGACGATATTTGACCTATAGTATTCTCATAGAAGGTATCTGCTATTACGGTGATAGTGTTGGCTTAGTACTTTCCATTTGCATATGTCACATTGATCACAATTCCCTTTTTTATCAACTTCTTTATTGGTTTAAACTTGTTTTTAGTAGTTGTTACTAGTTCTCACAGATGATATCTGAGTTAGAATTACATCATTATTATAATAACTAATTACCAGGGCTATTACATCATTATTATAATAACTAATTACCAGGGCTATTTTGTTTAAACAGGGTTTCCGCGAGTCACAAAATGTTGTAAATTCCAAAATCAAAATGTTAGGCCTTAAAAGTCTTAAATGTACTGAAATATTGTGTTGTAGGTCTTAAATATTTTTAAACAAGTCTTCATTTTCCTTTGTTCATGTTTTGCTATCAAATCTGGTCAAAAGCCATACAATCACCAACAATCCATCTCAATAAAACTTTAAACTTTTTGTTCAAAAAGGTCATTTTAACCCTATCATAATGGTTCAATTATTTTCCTTACAATAAATTTTTTTTAAACATGCTCCATGTATTTACTGCTAAGGACATCGACCTGGACAGATTGTTGTGCATAGATTTAGTTTATTATAGTTTTTAAAATTTTTAAAACATTTGTTTTTTATTTTAAAGAAAGTTTATATTGGAAAAAAAGTGTGTGGATACAAGTAAAGCTTGCTTGTTTTTACACAATATTTAATATTTATAAAATATTTATTTATATAATATTTTATTTCTTTTGCTGAGAAATATCAAACATATTTTATTATAATTCATTTATTATTATATTATTAAATGTATTAAATTATAATATTTTTGACACAACAAATTTAAAAATATTTTTTATCTGGGAAATTTGAAAAATTCTTAGCCTTATGAGTCTAAATTTTCATTTATAATGGCCTTAAATAGTCTTACATTTAATTTGGTGAAACCTGCAGAAACCCTGGTTTACAGTATGTCAAATAATGTGGACGCCGCCAATATTAAATATGCTGAATGAAACGGACACTAAAATAATGAATAATTATAAAACATTGTACAGTATTCTAAACCATATGATGTTGTTGTCGGAAAACATGAGACAAAACAAACAAATTATAGTGGAACAACAACGTTTAGCATTGCACTGACTACAACTGGGCAACAAACTAGTCTAAAAATAACTATTTCTGCTTAAGAAATGGATTATAGCATGCTAATGATATGCAAACATTTGAGTGTAAAGTTCGTCAGTATTGACCATATTCTTCACTTACCAGCAGGCGGCGCCATTGGAATGTTTTTGTCTAAGACATTTTTTTAAAGAATTAATTTTTAGATCCTAAAAACAGTGTTATACTGCTTAGGCATGGGACGATAATAGTTTAAGGTATATCGCGGTTTGAAAAAAAGCAAAGGTTTTAAAACCTACAATATTGACTGCTGTACCGTCCCTATGGTATATATGGTATATATTTATTTTTTTACGTTTTAAGTTTTTCAGGACAACAGTATCTTCAGCAGAAAAGATATCCAAAGATGCCGATTTGAATCATAAAGAAAACTCTGTTTTTAAACTAATGAGGACAACCGAAGTCACTGATTCATTAGAATTATTCAGCCTGACATGTTTAATGCTCCAAAATATTTCAAAAGTTTCTCAAAAGATAATATGTTGTGTTCAAAAGGGAAAAAGTGTTTGTTTTTTTACCCAGACATTTAATAAGAATATATTTTAGAACAGTAATCGCGGTACCGTGAAAGAGTGATATTTTTTTTCAAGGTTATCATACCGTCAATCTTGTACTGGCCCATGTTTAATGCTGCTTGCTGTTACAAAGTCATATTTTTCTAATTTTTTTGTTTTTCTTGGTATGTATAGTCACGAACACACTTGTTTGTAGAGTAAGTAGCCATTTATTATTCCTGGTCATATCTCCAATAGGCAACTGAAGTTCTAAAACAATAGCATATGAGATCATTGCCCCGTTTCAGACAGAAGGTTCAGAGTATGTTAACCCTGAAATGAGAGAAACTGTGTTTTTCGTTTCAAAATGACAGGTTTGTCAAACTCGAGAAAGCATGGTAAGCCTTTTTCTGAAAGAGAGGTCATTTTAACTCGGGGTCAGTTACCGTTGTCACTTACTTTTTTTTTTTTTACTTTTTTTTGAGTTTCTGTCGGTCTCCTCCCCTTTTTAAAAGATGAACCGGTATTTCTCACTTAGCTTTATGTCCAGCCACCTATTTTTATGTGCATTTTGGATAGGCTATGAGAATAAAAAAAATTGGTTGATGGAAATGTCATGATGCACATACTTTTTGAAATATAGACATAAAAAAAGTGCATAACTGAGTAGGATAAATTTTTATTCGATAAGAAAATATAAACATTACTTAAACTACGCAAGCACTTTTACTGAACAAATTCTAGTATGTGCATTAAAAAAGGTTTGTTATAAGATCAAATTATGTTGAAAATGTGTGTGAATGAACAAACCAGCAGCCTGAGCACACTGTAAAACATCTGAAATGTTGTTTTGGTCATTCTAAAACGCCTTAACCTTTTTTATTATTAAAGTTATTATATTATTTGATGATCTCCAGTTTGGGGTTAGTGCTATGTATCTACAGGTTGGCATTGGCTATACAACACCACTAGAAAGAGCTATAAGTACACAAAAGGTCCAGCCAATGTATGTATGTATTTTATGTTGTTTGGATTCAAACTGTGTTAACGTGCTCTTTACTGGTGATTTTCAGAGTCTTTATTTAAAAGACACGACATGTTGAGCGTCTGGAGCGTATCTAGATCGACTGTTCTCCGCATCTCATGGCTTCAAATGCCACCACGTGTTGATTTTGTGTCGGCATTGTCCTCTGAGGTGATAGTCATTTATTAAATAAACAAAAGATTTATGTAGCTTCTCCTACTGCAGAAAATTTAGTTTTTACTGTTGATATTTGGCACCAGGAAGTGACGATTTTGTTCTATTAATTTGATGGAAACGCTGCTTTATTTGCAAATCTTTTATGTGATATTCCAGTTTTGCACATAAATTTAATTCACATTTTTGAATGGAAACATAGCTATTGCCTTCATTTCAGTCACAAAGAACTAAGAGAATGGCTTGTCCTACTTTATTGAATAATTAGCTTAAATTCACTGACCTTCTACAGGGACATGTACTGTAACTAGATTAATGAGATTACTCGTTCTAAAAACTATTTTTTAGTACTGTTTACATTCTTATTATTCAAATACTTATATTGATTTTTCAAGTCTTAAATTGTTCCACAACACCCATATTGAACAACAAATTAACATAGTACATAGCTACAGACATAAGCCAGTCGCACACCAAAAGTGCTGCTCGGCAACGCAGAGCGTCGCGCCATGCAGCACCATGCAGTTTAGAATTCTAAACATAGGTTTCTATCGGGGGACACACCGGCGCCGCAAGTCGGTGTATTTGCAGTTTTCCCTGATGCCTTTGTAAAGAGGCACTGCGTTGGACAGAAATAAATTAAAAAAAAGAAAAAACCCACTCACGGCATCAACAGGGCTGTGGGGAGCACTCTTTTGCCCAGTCTCGCACACACATACAGGCATGTAAACGCGCACAAACACGCCTTTTAAAACTGACAAAAACTCTCGACAACCTTTACTGTCTGCTGTGTCTCTAATATGGTGTAAAGATTATTATGGGTTATTGAAACATCGAAGACGCAGCAAAGTCACTTATAAATTAAAACTACTTTATTATTTTATGCAAAAGCCTTACATTTAAAAGGGAAACATAAGGGCGATCATACGCAAAAAGACCCCTGCCTATAAGGCTAGATGTTTTCTTTCTCTTATTTATTTATTTGATGGTGCATGTGCTCGTGTGCGATCGAGAAAACTAGTGTCCACCTCTCCTTTCACTCCGCCCTGAAGCACCAGCTGGCCCTCTTTGGCCCAAGGTATTCAACGGGCCGAAAAAGGCTGGCTGCTGGCCCAGAGGAAGCCCGGTTTGGCTCGATTAGGCCCCGGAAGTGACAGTGGAAACGTGACTGGCCTTGGCTTGCCCTGGCTCGGCTCGCTGTAGGCGCGATAGTGGAAATGCGGCTAATGAGTTAAGGGAAGAGGTCGGCAGCCTTAGCTGACTAGCGGTGCTAGCAGGCTAAAGCTACAAACAACAAGCGGATGCTCAAGAGACAGAACGTTTTAAAGCAGATTTGTTTGTATAAATGTATTAAGGCTTTGTTCACCCTAAGTATTTATTTTATGATAAAAATGTAAATTGCGAATCTAAACTCCAAACACATGCAGCGAGGCAACCGAACAGCGACAGTGCTGTTACTCGAACATGCACATAGTTTAGCTTTTAAATTGATCATTAATTCCTTGTTGATCAGTAGTAATACTTTCATCATCCTTATGTGGGGATCCTCTGCATTTTCACTTGTCAAGAAGTCATATTCCCCTTGAAGAAGAAGTCTTTTCTAATGAAGCTCTTCAGAAGGTGATGTTGAGTGTAGCTGATCAATTGTATTAATTTTATTCATTATCTCTCTAAGCTGTTTTGACATTCTTTTATTTGCACTAGCTTGATATGAAATAACCTGTCCTTATATATGCTAATCTATAATCTCTTGGGATTCCTTTGTCTCAAGGAAGAAATCAATTTGAGCATCAATAAATT